CCCGCCCGACCCGCTCTGCCTGTTCGGTGACAAGGCTACCACTAGCACGCCGGGCACGACACCCATCGGAGCCACGCCCACCCCGCGCCGCGGTTCGCAACCCCCTGCATGGTCACCACTCGGATCAAATCCCCCCGCGGTCCTGGGGCAGGCGCCCTTGGACCCACGACCAGGACCGTCGCCAACCCTCCAGCAGCTCGGGCCAACGGCGGGCCGCCCGGCGTCCGCACCGCAGGGCGCACCGCCGCACCCTGTCCAGTAGCTCGCCCACAGAGGGGACGCTCCCCCCAGCACTAGCCGCAGTCCGCGCTCCAGCCGCTCCCCGACGCCCCCACCACACCATGACCAGAGGCAGCCGCCCCGTCCCCGCCACTGGCCGGGCAGGCCGGGTTCCTCAGCCACGCGCCCGCCTACAGCCGACCACCCGCCTCCTGCCGAAGGTAAGAACACAGGACCGCAGACCAGCAGGCATGAGCAGCCTCCCCTGCCCACCTAGAGCCTCCTGGACTGTCTCCCTGCGCTTGACCCCCCGACTTGCCCAGCGCTCAGGATGCGGGACATTGCAGGCTTGGAGGCCCTGGGCCGCGCCCCTCCCTTGCCCTCCGACGGTAAGGCAGACACCACCATCGCCCAAGTCATGGTGGCGCACGCCAGGTCCCTCCACCCCCAGATCGAGGATGCATGGAAGTCGTAGACCATACAGCACCGCAGTGCTGCCCTTATACATCCGGGGATCCCACGCGACCCCAGAGCATGGACCGAGGCCCATTACAAGGATGTCCTCACCAGCGTCTATGGCGCCACCATCCCCCATTTTTGGATCTCGAATGGCATCGAATGGGATGGCAAACGCACTGCACTGGCTCACCTTGTGAACTACCTGCAAAGCCAACGGCGCCACTCCACGCCCGCAGGGGATCACAACTTGGCGGCCTCATGGGACGACTACAGGCAGGCCTACGACCAGCACGCGAACCAGAAGTGACGAGATCCAGCCCGCTACAGTCAGGACATCCTGCTTGGCTACCTGGAGTCCGTTAACATTCACGACTTGCGTGCTCCCCATTTTGCTGGGTACGGCCCTTCGAACACTCGGAGGCTACAGCGCTCCATTCATGATCATATCGGCGCTTCCCCTGCTAGGGACGTTGGCCGCCCGTCCACGTGCCAGGGAGCTTCCGCCTCGAGCGATACTGCTATGCCCGCTGGGACTCCCGCCACTCCGCTGGTACTGCCCCCTGCCCCTACGAGCCCCCGGCCGATCAGCCCTGCCTGGGCCAGCAGCGCCCCCGCCCCCCCCCCGCCCGCCCCGCACGAGGCAGGCACAGCCGCGCGCGCAGGCACGGGAAGTGGACAGGCCCACGTGCGCGAGACCCCCGAGGGCACACAGGGAAGTGCGACCGCACGGCGGACAGTCACGCCCCCTGACACTTCCCCAGCCCCTCCTACGCCGCCGCGCAGCGAGGACCCGGACTGGGTCCCGTCCCCTGACCGGCGTACACCGTACGGGTGCAGCTCCGCCCAGCCCGCGCGGCCCCCCTCCCGACGATCGTGCCAGACGACGGGACAACAGCCCAGAGCGCGGGCAGGCACTCCAGGCAGAACAGTCTGACGGCGGCACGCGGGCAGACATTCCCGACGAGGCCGCGCGCAAGACTCTTCGCACAGCCGAGCAATCCTTGACCAGTCCCCGCGGGCCTGGGCATGGTGAAGTTGGCAACCCCAGTGGAAGCGACCGCCCCTGGCATCAGCCTGTTTGCTACCACTAGACGGCAGTCCTGCGTAGCAGCTGTACCCTGCACTGGGATCCCACCGACAGAACATATAACCAGCCCCGCCAAGCCGTCAACTGGCGCCCTGGCTGGAATTACAGCGACAACCGGAGAGAGCACTGGCATGTGGTCGTCAGCCGCCTCAAACTGGAATGCGGTCCAATGCTAGTCATATGCTAGTCATTGGCTGGAACGCCGTCTGCGACCACCTGGGGCGCCCCGGGTCCACCCAGGATCCGAGGAACTTGCCGGGCGACTTCTGCGAGGACTTCGTCAGTCAGCTTACCCGAGCCGGCTTTGATGTCCGCAACCTTTGCTGGAACATAGGCATCCACGTCCACTGGCAAAGTGCCTGGGACCAAGAGATGGACAAAAAGAAGCAGTGCTGCCAAGGTCGGGCCTCCAACGGCAAAGGCAAGAGGCCTGCTGACCCCACCTGGCCCAGCAACGACCACTCCAGGCAGCGCTGCCCTGGGTCCGCCAGCCGCGGCTGAGTGGGCAGCCAGTGGCCACGGTCCTCTGACCACCCCACGACAAGCCGTCTGCGGCACTTGCGCGCCCTTACTAGGGGTGGGCTTTGCTCCTGCATGCCCTAACTGCTTCCCCACCAGCTTGCCGCCCCGCGGCCGGCTGCTCGTTGCAGTTCTGTGCACCATTTGGGTGCGTTTGCACGTTTACCCCCTGACCGCTCCCGCTCACCCCGACCCGGGCTGGGCTCCGCCCCGCGCGCCCCCCTTCACGGCTGGCGCCTCGCAGCCGGCCGCTCTTCATACTTCTGTGCGCCAGTTCGGTGCTCCCCCCCCGCGCTGCACAGCTCAGGGTGCACCCCCACTGCATTGCACGGCCCAGCCTGCGCCTCCGCCCCGTGGCACCAACCATCAACGGGTTCATCTTATGCGTGGCCATCGCGTGCCTGGCCGCCTCGGGCGCGCTGGCCCTGCGCCTCGTTGGGGCTACCTGCCCCTTGCCCCGTGCCCCTCCGGGTCGGCCACTGCCGTTCCCATCCGTGTCCTTGCTGCCGTGCGTCTTCCGAGGAGAACCAGTGCATGCGCCACCCACTGCGGTGCTCCTGGCCGAGCGCGGGCTGGTCTTGCCGCCCACCCTCGGCCCCTTGCCCCACGGCCGCCCTGCGCCTGGCCGCCCAGCTGTCCGTCCTGGCCTGGGCTGCCTGCCGCGCGCCCCCGCCCCGCGCCAGCCGCCCTTGCGGAGGCGCCTGCCTCGCCGCCCTTCGCCGCTCCCGGGCCAGCCCGCCGCTGCGAGGCGGTGGCCTCCCGCAGGTTTTTGCTGCCAGACTTCCGCCCGCTGCCTCTGCCCTGGGCGGCGGCCCCCTCCCTCGCCTGGCGCTGCCTGCGCCCTCCACCCCTCCTCTGCCTGTCCCCCGTCTCGCCGGGCGCTGCCCTGCCCCGCGCCCAGGCGCCTCTTTGCGCCCCGTCCGCCTCGGATCTCGGTTCTCGTTTTCCCTGGCGCCTGTCAGCGCTCCCAAGGGACTCCTCCGCCCTGCCTGGGCGTTCCCGTCGGGCGGTTCTGGCCTGCGCCACCCCAGGGGGTTGCCTTGCAGGCCATCTGGGGCCTCGGCACCCCCTCTCCTGGAGGTGGTCCCGCGCTGGCCGCCGCAGCGGGCCGCCTCGTAGGTCACTCGTGACCTCGGCTCCCCTGGCTGCCTCGCTGTCATTGCTTTTGCCTCCAGCTCGTGTTGGGCCTGCCTCCCCTGGGCGCTTGCCTCTGACGGCCGCCCTGCCCTGCCTACCCCCCAGCTGCCGCCTCGCTGTCGCTGGCCCCCGCTCCCGGCGCTCCCCCCGCCGCCGCCTGGGCCCGCTCTGAGCGGGCCCGGCGTCCTTCTCCCTCCTTCCCGCGCCGGGCGTCCTCTCTCCCCCGTGCACGGCGGCCCAACTCGCGTTTTGTGCATCCCACTAACGCTCCATCGCCAGCGCAGTGACTCTGCCTAGCCGCCGACGTGAAGCGTGTGTGTGTGTGTGTGTGTGTGTGTGTGTGTGTGTGTGGTTGTTGTGTGCGAGATTTTTTCAGGACCTACTTGGGGCCTCTTGGCGGCTTCTTGGCAGCATCATGGGAGCTTCTTGGAGGCTCTTGCACTGGCATCTGGGGAGTCCGGGGCCCACCTTAGAGGGTAGGCTTTGAATCGTCTGGCGGTGGCGCGTTTTTTGGTCCCTTTCGGGGCCGTCTTTTGCACAATGCGCTTTTGGAGATCGTTTATCCGGAACCTGTGGACACTCCGCTCGGTGCTTACGGCACGGTAGTGGATAAATGAGGCCTTGAGGGCACTACGTTCAGTGCCTCGCGACACGATCAAGGCTATCCGCACGATTGTAACCCCCGATCCTAGGGGCCCCCAATTCTATTTCATGCGCACTGTGTTGGGGGCCGCAATTCCCTTTCATCCCCGACCATCCTGTGGTGTTGACTCCTCGTTTTGATGCGACAGCGCCCTGCGTTCCGCACATCTCCTCCCCCACCTCCCCCTCCTCCCTCCTCCCTTCTTGCCTCTGCTCTCCGCACGTCACCCATTTCGGCACACCCCTCACACGTTTCGTGGCCCCATGGGGAGCTTTACTGAAAGCGATCCAGCGGGAGGGTTCGCATGGCGGCGTCGGGTCATCTTGGCACACTCCCCACACGTTTCGTGGCCCCATCGGGCGCTCCACCGAGGGCTCCAACGGAAGGGTTCGCATGGCGGCCTCGGGCCATCTCGGCACACCCCTCACACGTTTCGTTGCCCCACAAGGAGCTCCACCGAAGGCTCCGGCGGAAGGGTTCGCATGGCGGCCTCGGGCCATTTCGGCGCACCCCTTACACGTTTCGTGGCCCCATGGGGAGCTCCACCGAAGGCTCCAGCGGAAGGGTTCGCATGGCGGCTTCGGGGTATTTAGGCGCACCCCTCGCACGTTTCATGGCTTCATAGGGAACTCCACCGGAGGCCGCAGTGGCAGGGTTCGCATGGCGGCCTCGGGCTATCTTGGCGCACCCCTCACACGCTTCGCTGTCCCACTGGGGACTCCACCGACGGCCGCAATGGCAGGGTCCGCTTGGCGGCCTTGGGCCATCGCGGCGCAGCTTTCGCACGCTTCGTGGCCCCATAGGGAGCCCCACAGAAGGCCCCCAGCGGGAGAGTTCTCCTGGCGGCCTCGGGCCATTGCGGAGCATTTCTCACACGCCTTGCAATTCCATAGGTGGCTCCACCGAAGGCTCCAGGGCAAGTTCCGCATGGCGGCCTCGGGCTATGTGTGACACCCCTCGCGGTACTCGCAGCTGCATATGGTTGGGTCCTTCGCCAGGCTATGTTTGTTTGTGCGAAGCGCTCGAGTCATAGTTGGATTATACTTTGATATATGGCAGAGGACGTGCTGCCCCTATCTTTGTTTTCACGCGCTCACCCCTTTTCACATTTGCGGAGTTATGTTGCCTGGGCCAAGCACAGGTAGAACGTCCAAGGAAAGCGACACAGAGGACTCACTGGGTTTGGATATTGGCTTGGATATTGGCTAGGGAGGGAACGTGAATAGTAGTGGGGCCAAGAGGGATGGACATGATGGCATACCGATGGGGGAAGATACCAGCGAGCAGGTTCCCCATCGACCTGTAGAGCAAGCACGATTTCGACACGACAGCTCCTCCGATCATGAATCTGGCTTTTCCGTTCTGCTCGCCACTCTTACCCTCGTAGTCCCTGGCTTTGGACACACAGTGATGATCGGCGGCCTTTGGTCGCAAACATGTTCACATCTCGCTTCGTGGAACTCTGCATCGCATCCTGGCGTTTCCGAGCGACCCCGAGCCATCCGCACGGCGTATCATATTTACGCTGGCCCGCCGCTGGGCGACGTCCGATCGATCCCCGCAGACGACCTCAGAGCATCTGCAGCTAGGAGCTCATGCTGTTGCGCTCTCCCTACAGAAGAGGAGTGCACGACGATTCGGAAGAAGAGGGTGATGATGGCGAGGAGGAGGAGGAGGTCGGTAGAGAACATATCTACGTGAGGCTCGTAACCTCGCACGTGAGACAACACCCACGAAGCGGGGCCTCACAGGAGGGTTCGTGTTTTCTTCGAGACGAGCTTGCTGTTCCAAGGGGGCTACTGGTTCAAATTCCAATCCGCCCCTCGAAGCGAGCCGCCCATACCCCAACCACCACCCAGATCCCAGACAGAGGCGTGGAGGGGAAGAGGAGGAGGAGGAGGAAGAGGAGGAGGCTGAGGAGGAGGAAGAAGAGGAGGTGACAGGAAGAGAACGAGTTGAATTAAGGGAGAAGAAGGAAGGGGATGCTGCTGCTGCCGAGGATGATGATGATGATGATGATGATGATGATGATGATGATGATGATGATGATGATGATGACGATGATGATGATGACGATGATGATGCTGCTGATGATGACGATGCTGATGCTTATGCTGATGCTGGTGTAGATGATGATGCTGATGCTGATGCTGATGCTGCTGCTGCTGATGATGATGTCGATGCTGATGCTGATCCAGATGATGATGCTGCTGATGATGATGATGATGATGCTGCTGTTGATGATGACGATGATGATGATGATGATGATGATGATGAGGATGAGGATGAGGATGATGATGATGCGGATGCTGAGGATTATGATGCTGATGACGATGATGATGCTACTGCTGTCTATGGTTACTATTCTGATGATGATTGTGATGATGGTGCTGACGATGATGATGCTGCTGCTGATGATGAGGACGATGATGATGATGGTGATGATGATAATGATGATGATGATGATGATGATGATGATGATGATGATGATGATGATGATGATGATGATGATGATGATGATGATGATGATGATGATGATGATGATGATGATGATGATGATGATGATGATGATGATGATGATGATGATGATGATGATGATGATGATGATGATGTGTTGATGCTGCTGCTGATGATGCTGCTGCTGCTGATGATGATGATGATGATGATGATGATGATGATGATGATGATGATGATGATGATGATGATGATGATGATGATGATGATGATGATGCTGATGATGATGATGATGATGATGATGATGATGATGATGATGAATCTTATGATGATTATGATGATGATGATCATCATGTTGAGGATGAGAAGGATGAGGAGGAGGAGGAGGAGGAGGCAGAGGGAGGAGGAGGAGGAGGACGAAGAAGAGGAGAAGGAGCAGGAGGAGGAGAAGAAAGGAGGAGGCAGAGGAGGAGCAGGAGGAGCAGGAGGAGCAGGAGGAGGGGAGGAGGAGGAGGAGGAGGAGAAGGAGGAGGAGGAGGAGGAGGAGGAGGAGGAGGAGGAGGAGGAGGAGGAGGAGGAGGATACGGATGAGCTAGGTTCGCTCGCGCCATAGCTGATATCCTGTTCCTCCCATCCATCACTTCCCATTGTACTGTTGTTTCTCTATCCGCTGACGCGTGTCAGCAGACCTAGGACTCTGATTAGCCTGGCGAAGGACCCAACCTCATGCAGTTGTGAGCACCGTCGCTGTGAGCATCGCCTTCCGAGGATCGCCGTATGCGGCTACGAAGCGCGTGAGGGATGTGCCGGAATGTGGCGGGGCCGCCATGCGGGCGCTGCGCATCGCGAGGGAAATGAAATGAAGGAGGGGGCCAGCAGCAGGGGCCGTTGGGGCCTTTGGTGCTTCCTATGAGCCGCGAACTGTGTGAGAGAGTCGCCGAAATTGGGGCGGAACCGCATGCGGGCGGTGCCACTGGGGCCTTTAGGTGGAGCTCCCGGTGGGGCCACGAAGCGTGTGAGTGGTGTGCCAGAGTGAAGGTGGAATCACATGCGAGCGCTGCCACTGGTGCCTTAGGTGAAGCTCCCTGTGGGGTCACGAAACGTATGAGAGGTGCATCGAAATGAGGGTGGAACCGCATGCGCGCGCTGCCTCTGGGGCCTTCGGTAGAGCTTCCTATGGGCCGCGAACTGTGTGACGGGTGCACCAACATGGGGGTAGAACCGCATGCGCGCGCTGCCATTGGGGCCTTCGGTGCAGCTCCCCATGGGGCCATGAACCATACGAGGGGTGCAACGAAAGAGGGGGTGGAACAGCATGCGAGCGCTGCCACTGGGGCCTTCGGTGGATTTTCTTATGGGGCCACGAGGTGTGTTTGGGGTTTGCCGAAATGGAAGGTGCCACCGCATGCGGGTGCTGCCACTGCGGCCTTCGGTGGAGCTCCCTGTGAGGCCACGAAACGGGTAAGGGGTGCACCGACATTCAGGGTGGCACCGCATGCGTGCGCTACTACTGGGGCCTTCGGTGGAGCTCCCTATAGGGCCTCGAAGCGTGAAAGGGGTGCACGGGAAACGAGGGTGGAACTGCATGCGGACGCTGCTATTGGGGCCTTCGGTGGAGCACACTATGGGGCCAACAACGTGTGATGGGTTTGCCGAACTGGGAAGGGGTGGAACCGCATGCAGGCGCTGCCACTGGGGCCTTCGGTGGAGCTCTCCCATGGGGTTACGAAGCGTGTGAGGTGTGTGCCAGAGTGAAGGTGAAACTGCATGCGCGTGCTGCCACTGGGGTCTTCGGTGGAGCTCCCTATGGGGCCAAGAACTGTGCTAGGGGTGCTCCGAAAGGGGGGTGGAACCGCATGCGGGCGCTGCCACTGGGGCCTTCGGTGGAGCTCCCTATGGGGTCACGAAGCCTGTGAGGGGTGGGCCGACGATGAGGATGGAACCGCATGCGGGCGCTGCCACTGCGGCCTTCGGTGGAACTCCCCATGTGGCTACGAAACATGTGAGGGGTTCGGCGACATGGGTGGTGGAAGCGCATGCGGGCGCTGCCACTGCGTCGTTCGGTGGAGCTCCCCATGGGGCCGCGAAACGTGTGAGGGATTCGGCGAAATATGTGGTGGATCCGTATGAGGGCGCGGCCTTCACTGCAGCTCCCTATGGAGCCACGACGTGTGTGAGGCGTGTGCCGTAGCTGATGGCGATGATGGTGATGACGACGGCGATGATGATGATGCTTTTGCTGCTGATGATGTTGATGATGCTGATGATGACGATGGTGCTGATGCTGCTGCTGCTGCTGATGATGTTGATGATGATGGATGATGATGTTGATGATGCTGATGCTGATGCTGCGGTTGCTGATGATGATGGCACTGCTGCTCCTGCTGCTGATGATGATGCTGATGATGATGCTGCTGATTCTGATGATGCTGATGATGATGCTGTTGATGCTGACGATGACGACGCTGATGATGACGATGATGATGCTGATGATGATGCTGATTACGATGATGATGGTCATGCTGATGATACTGATGATGAGGTTGATGATGCTGCTGATGATGATGATTATAATGCTGATGATGCTGCTGATGATACTGCTGCTGATGATGCTGACGATGATGAGGATGAGCACGACGGTGATGATGTCGACGATGATGATGATAATGATGCTGATGATGGTGATGATTATGATGATACTGATGCTGATAATGATAATGGTGATGATGCTGGTGATAATGCTGATGCTGCTGCTGTTGCTGCTGCTGATGATGATGATGACGATGATGATGATACGGATGATGATGATGATGATGATGATGATGATGATGATGATGATGATGATGATGATGATGATGATGATGATGATGATGATGATATTGATGATGATGATGATGATGATGATGATGATGATGATGATGATGATGATGATGATGATGATGATGATGATGGCGAGGATGAGGATCTTGTTGAATGTTAACTGCTAGACGATTATATTATTGTTGGACCCCCCAAGGCGCTTTGGCGCTCTCGCCTCGGCGCCGGCTACATTTTCATTGAAAATGAGGCTCACGCTCGAGCGGTTTGGGGGGGCGCCAAATCCGGACTCCCAATAACAACAATTACAACAACAACACCAACAACAACGACGACAACGACAACAACGACAACGACAACAACAACAACAACAACAATTACTAGCACGTGGGGACGCTCCGTTCTCACCAGTGCCAGGGTTTTCATACGACGCCCGCCAATACCCCCACTTTGTGGGGGGGCCGGTTCAAGCTCTACCACATTTCCAAACGACTCTTCGCCACCACCCACACCCAGCTTCCCGCCCTATGACGTTCGGACACTTCACTTCGTGGCCTGCGGACGACCGTGGCTACTACACTGGCGCATGGGTACAGTGACTTGTTGTGGTAACATTTTCTGGACGCTAGCTTAGTATTCGGACAGCGCGCGCGGGTAGAAATTTTGAAAATTCGTACAGATGTTTTTCGAGGACCTACGGTGCGATTCGTATGATTTTATGTTGCGCGGTGCTAAAATTCCTAAGAAACCCAATGGTTTTTGAAGATTTCGGCGTGCGCGCGCGAAGAAAAAACGAATGTGTCCCGCATGGTATTATTTGACAGGGATGATGGCCCTGGCAGGTGCGCAACCGTTGTTGGAGAAGTTCGAAGCACGTGAAGTTGCTCGGAAAAGCCCATTTGACAGAAATGTTTAAAAAGTGTTGGGTTTCCGACAAATCCGCAAGAGCGCGCGGGATGAAATTTTGACATTTTTTTTTTGAAAAACCATTGGTTTTTTGATGTTTTTATGTTGAAATCGCTACGAACACTAAGGTTTTGGAAGGATTTCGTCTTGCGCGCGCGAATGTCCACTTTACCTTATTTTTTGCAAGGGATTCTTGAAGTTTGGTTATGTTAGAACAAGAAATGTCCACTTTAGCTTGTTTTTTGCAAGGGAAAACGGGGGACAACAAAACAACCGGATCCGGACACCCCGTTTTGCCTGAGACTTCCTCACGAAAATGATGAAAATGTGGCTGCGGCCTAGGCGCGGCGAGGGGGCCGCGCACCAGGGGTCCCAACAATAATTATTCTTTAGAATAAATAATGTTCAACAA